ACCTGGAACCCCGCATATTTGGTTGTGTGGTCTTTGTCCACTTACATGATCACCAATGCAGCAAATTAGATCCCCGTGCCGCCAAGTGTGTGTTCATTGGTTATGTCCCTCATCAGAAAGGTTATAGGTGTTATCATCCTCCAAGTCAGAAAGTCTATACTTCTATGGATGTTGCGTTCTGGGAACAAGAGAGCTATTTTTCAGATGCACATGATGACCCTTCTCACATTTCCGAATTTTTTCCTTCAGCAGTTTTTCTAGATTCGTTCCAGACTCAGAACGACCGGTCGCAGACCTCTAGCGATCGGTCGCCCGACCAAAACGACCGGTCGCTAGATGCAAACGACCGGTCACCAACGACTCTGCCTGAAAGCGACCGATCGCATGCCTCTAACGAACGGTCGCCACGCACGTCAAGGTCTCTGCCTGAAAGCGACCGGTCGCATGCCTCTAACGACTGGTCGCCACGTACGCCAACGACTCTGCCTGAAAGCGACCGGTCGCCTGACCCTAACGACCGGTCGCTCCCCCCATTTTTTTATGAGATTGTTCCGCTTTAGTCCGATCCCAGCCATCACCCTCAGGAGGAGAGAATTGAAGAGTTTGTGCCTGCTCCGAAGAATTCTTCAGCCCCAGTACCACACCAATCACCTGTTGAGGACGTCATTCAGGTAACTTCTCTACCTGAAACTGATAACATTAATGAAATAACTGATTGCATTTCAGAAGGCGCAGAGCCTACCTATCAGATTCCAAAAAGGAAGAATCGTGGTAAACCTCCAATGCACTACGAAGCAGATCTTAATGCAAAGGGGAAATATCCCATCAACAATTATGTATCCCTCACCAGATTATCAGAGTCACGGGTACACTTTGTGAAGCAGTTAGCTGACATACCCGTTCCGAACAGTGTAACTGAAGCACTAGAAGACCCAAAATGGAAAGAAGCCATGAATGAAGAAATGCGAGCTCTCCAGAAGAATGGTACATGGGAACTCGTGCCATTACCTCATGGAAAGAAGACAGTGGGATGCAGGTGGATCTATACTATGAAACTCAAGGCAGATGGATCCATACAGAGATATGTGATAGACTACCAATAAACCTTTGCCCCAGTAGCCAAGATCAAAACTATCAGAGTCCTCTTGTCTGTAGCAGCAAATCTCGATTGGCCATTACATCAATTTGATGTAAAGAATGCATTCTTACATGGAGACCTGGAAGAAGAAGTACATATGGACTTACCACCAGGATGTAACTTCACTCGTGACAAGGAGAATCAAGTTTGCAAGCTCAAAAAGTCATTGTATGGGTTAAAGCAGTCTCCCAGGGCATGGTTTGGTAGATTCACTAAATCCATGAAGAATTTTGGATATACACAGAGTAATTCAGATCACACTTTGTTCTTGAAGCGTGATGGAAAGAAGCTTACCGCACTGATTGTTTATGTGAATGACATAGTTGTGACTGGAAACGACACAGGAGAGTAATTGAAACTGCAGAAGTATTTGTCTCAGGAATTTGAGATGAAGGATTTAGGTGATCTGAAGTACTTTCTTGGAATTGAAGTAGCAAGGTCCGTAAAGGGTATATTTATGTCACAGAGGAAGTATGTATTGGATCTACTCGCTGAAACAGGATTGCTTGGATGTAAGCCTGCTGACACACTAATCGAGATGAATCACAAGTTGTGTGAAGGTATGGATCAAGAACCAACCAATAAGGAACAATACCAACGCCTTGTTGGAAGGTTAATATATTTAGCCCACACAAGACCAGATATTGCATATGCTGTGAGTGTGGTTAGTCAGTTTATGCATTCATCCAGTGTGTCTCATAGGAATGTAGTTGATCGAATCTTAAGGTACTTAAAGTTAGCCCTTGGAAAATGATTAATGTTCTCAAAGAATAGAGATCTTGAAGTTGTGGGATATACAGATGCTGATTGGGCTGGCTCCATTACTGATAGACGCTCTACTTCAGGTTACTTTACCTTCGTGGGAGGTAATCTAGTCACTTGGTGGAGTAAAAAACAAAATGTGGTTTCTCGGTCTGGTGTAGAAGCAGAGTATCGAGGAATGGCTCATGGAGTTTGTGAATTGCAATGGATCAGAAGACTCTTGACAGAATTGGGTTTCAAGCCAGAAAAGCCAATAGAGTTGCATTGTGACAACAAGTCAGCTATTGATATTGCCCATAATCCAGTTCAACATGATCGAACCAAACATGTTGAGGTGGATAGACATTTTATCAAAGAAAAAATTGAGAAGAAGATCATCCGCCTTCCATTCGTAAAATCAGAAGATCAACTAGTTGATATCTTAACCAAAGCTGTTTGTAGCAGAGTGTTTTATGACTCATTTACCAAGTTGGGCATTGGTGACGTATATGCACCAACTTGAGGAGGAGTGTTGACGCGAGTCCCCTAATTAATCAATGAGATTTATTTCCTTGATTAATTAAGGGATTTACTTTCCCATTCCATTTAGTTGACAAATCTGTGTATAATTAGGAGATACTTTCCTAATTCCTTATTGTATCTCATTCCTTGTAAAGCACTCTGTAAACTCATACTTATACCGCCTTATGGAGAAGAATAAATCATCTGAACATATTCAAACCCGTATTCATATTTTAGCATGCAGCATCTATTCGTCAAAGTCTGACCTAAGCAATGCCTTCCTTTGTTGCTTAGTTTTTTTGTTTTTTTTATTGGGTCGAAATCCTTTGTTGTTAGGTTAGGTTAGAATGCAAAGAAGAGTCCCCTCTTATCATCAATTTTGTAAAATCCAACCGACGGAGAGAGGCGAAGGAGAGAGAGGGGCGACTAATGAAGTACAAGTAGTCATGGCCAATTCAAGTATATTCTTTTTCTTTGCTTTTGCTCAACATCTATTCTTTGATGTCTAACTTAAGCAATGCCTTTCTTTGTTTACCATTAGAGGCATATAATATCGGTTTCTAAAAGAACCTTGGTGAAACACATGGCCTTATCTCGATAATTTCACAAATATCAATTTTTATAAACACTTACTTGAATAGACCCTAATACACTCAAAATTAGATAGAAGCCTACTTTGCAATCACAAAACTAGATGAATTAGCATGCATGAGTTAGGTTAGTTGACCAGTGCAGTCTACCTTGCCCCTTTACACCAGAGTTTGATCCCCTCATACATTAGAGTAGTTTAGAATATCATTGTGTAAATTAATACATAAATAAAAATATAAAAGCGGATGGATTAAAAATTGCCGCTTTAAAAGCCAAGCTGATGAAGCAATTGGCATACTATCTATTTAAGAAAGATACCCCTTTATTTGAACCGTCACAATCTTTTTTAGGAATAGTCTCAATCCATCAAATTCCATTTCCATTCCAATAAAAAAACGAAAGTTCCCTGTAGTAAAGTACAAGTCATGCCGAAATTCAAGTATATATTATTATTCTTCGTTTGTTCTTTAGGTTTGGTTTTGGTATTTTAATTTATTTTTATTACTTTTATTCTCCTTTATTGCTTCCAAATGTACATTATATATAGGCAAGGGCGGAACCAGAAATTTTTTAATGGGTGGGCTAGCTAAAGTTATTAGCTTAAAATTTAATGATAATTTTTTTTTTGTACTTACATTTTCTATAGTTTTTCTAGAAATAAAAGTATACATTAAATCATATAAATCAAATAATTGTAAACACAAGAAATAAAATTGAAATTAGAGTCATATTATTCGCGAAAGGGTGAATTTCATTTAGAAAAATGCTTCTCTTTTGGAGACAAATTAATATAAATTTTTTAAAATTGATGTTGGGATAAACTTTGACACCAAATACAAATGTGTAAGATCTCTTACTATGCATATTGGTGCTGAAATTGTATATTTATTTATTTATTTTTGGTTAAAATATTAGACTATATGTATATTTAATTTGTTTTTTTTCCCAAACTGTCCCTAGGCTACAGCCAAGGGTAGCCGCCCGTGTATATAGGGATTTTTGTAGAAATGTCACCTGAACTTATACCTCAGTTTCAATTTGTCACCTTAAAGAAAAATTTAAGAGAAATGCCATCTTAATTTTTCAAAATCCATGATTTGTCATATAACTTTAACACCATTATCCAATTTTCCATCTATTTTTAAGGGTATTTTAGTCTTTCTATTTTTCAAGAAAAAACAGATACGTATCTCTCCCTTTCTCCACCACCCCAACCTCACCCGCCCCTAAAACACATCGCACATGACCCCCCTCCCCTATTCTCTCTCTGTCTCTGAGCATGTATAAATTTTTTTATGGTGCTCATTGAGCATGTCGAAGGGCCTATTTGGTATCCTATCCAAGTAGGGACTCGGTTTCAGAAAGACAAAAAGAAGAAAAAGAAGAAGAAGATGGACTCGGTTTGGGTGGGCTAAGGGAATTTGTGTGTGGAGGGTAGGTGTTCCATGGTAGAGAGAAAAGTAGGAAGGGAAAGAGGGAAGGGTGAATGGATTTCAAAGTGGGTGGGTTGGTTGGAGCCGCTGGTGGCACACATGGGATGGGGGAATGTGAGAATTTTTTTTTTAAATTTTAATTTTTTAAAAGATATACAATTTTTTATATAATGATTTTTCCATTTTTAAAATACCCTTGAAAATGAAAAGACTAAAATACCCTTAAAATGGATGGAAAATTGGATGGGATTAAAGTCAGATGACAAATAATGGATTTTGAAAAATTAAGGTGACATTTCTCTTAAATTTTTCTTTAAGGTTGTTTGAGCCGGTCGAAATCCGACCATGCATCTTGGAAAACCAATAGCCCAAAATGCAAATTGGCTGCTCAAGGTGCCTAATGGCCAAATCGAAACAAGAAGATCGGACTTATGGGTCATCATGCACCCCACGCTGTTTAATCTTCAATAAAGTCTATAGCTTTAGATGCAAAATGTCCCACCATAATTCAGACCAAGAACTTAGAAGTCCAAACCCAACTTCCAACAACCGGTTGAAAACATCTGACTTTCGAAGTCGGAACATCTGGAACTTCTGAAGTGGGTGTTTAGTTGTGGTCTAAAATTCAGCCAAGGTCAAGTCCTATTGTTGGGGTCTTTTTTCGTTAGAAGGCTTGTCTGGGCTTGTTGATTCTTGGGC